CTACGGGATCGGTGATGGCTGAAGTTTGGACTTGGGAATGGATCTATTCGACAAAAAATATTGTAAAGATCGGTCATTTGGAAAAAGAGGAATTTAAGAGCCTTTAAGGAAGTAGAGGTAGATAGATATAAACTTAGAGATAGGTGGTTTAAATATTTTGGATCTTTTATATTGGGGCATGACATCATTAGAGATAAATATTTTGGGGATGTCATTGATACCATTACTTCACTGTAAATTCTTGTGTATATGGGCGGTGCCCCCTTTGGTGCCATACTACTTTATACTTTATTTTTTCTTTTGGAAAAAAAAAAAGATAGGGCTAAGGATAGTTGGTAGTTGGTTCCAGATCTTAGGTCTTTCAATTAAGATTCATCCTCTTTACACATTTGAGGATCTTGGGGACCTTATTAGTATTTTGATGATATGCAAATATTTTATATATGAGCTTGCACCTCCTTGGTTCTTATAAATGAATCATACTATACTTTAGAGGAAAAAAGAAGAACGGGGAGATATCAGGTCTAAACAATGTCATTTGAAGAATGGGATAAGAAATTTCAATTTTTTTAATTTTTTTTTAATTGCAACAATTAAAATATTAAAATATTAGAATATTCCTAATGCTAGTTGTAACGTCAATTGTCTGGTGCAAAGGACAAGTTAGTTTCTTTGAGCAATACTAGAAATACTATGATTGTAAGAAATGATATGATTTAGATGAAGATAATTTCTAGGCACTCTCTCTCTCTATCTCTTCTCTCATGCTCCTACTCTAATTGTCTCTATTTTTCTCCTCTCCTCTCCTCTTCCCTTCACCCTCACAATACTTCACTAACCCTAGAGTCTTTAGGCGACTAGGTTTTTCGGTTAATGAATGAGTCACAATCCAGACATACTATTAAGAGGAAAGAAATATAAATACGGAGGACCGCATTAGCCTTAGGCCAGCCCGAAGCAAAATAACAATCTTTATCTCAGGGCAAGGAAAAGTGATTTTTTATTCTGAAAGATTCTACAATCTTGTCCCAACCAAATTGCCAACTTGCCAGCAAAGAAATCCCACACCGTAGAGTTCTGATCTCCCATTTCATCCTTAGACACATAAAGGTTTTACTTAATTAGCAATCATTAAAAGAATAACAATTTCTCCACTAACAAAAAAAAGGTTTTAATACAATAGATAAGATCCTATTCAATTTTAACCCTAACTAAATCACAAATTGATATCTTCATGTTCCTTAGGACATTCAAACCCAAACTCCAGTCATAACTAACCATAAAACTGCAGAAGGTACCTATGCATCAGCAAATAACTAATCTGTATTGACACTTAACCTTCTGAATAAATGGAAGGAGTCCATTAATGGATGAATGAATGTAATCTCTCAGCTCAGGATGCCTTGCCCTCTGCACCACCAGATTCATATACCTCCTTCTCTCGAAAGCACCTTCACCAATTACCCAATAATAATCATCAATAATCACCACACTGAAATATGAAAACAAAATAGTTTCACTGGCAAAATTTTCTGAGGTATTCTGAGATTATATTTAATAAACACCTTAGACTGCACCTTTCACTGATTGAAAGGAGCAAATCTAAAGCCTGCCAGGTCGCAAGAAAAAATAAAGAAAATAAGAGGAAATTCAAAAGCCCAATTTCATTATCAACGTACTAGTCTAACACTCATTCTCTGTAAAATGAAGCTAAAAAACTCACAATGAGCTAGTCTTGGACGGAATTATCGAGCGCAAAGATCACGCAAAACCTCACACTGGAAAAATAATTTCCTGTTCTACTCTGCTTAAATTTATCTGTGCAATAAATGAGGATGAATTGACAAAACGGACATAGAGAAAACATCTATAATTACCAGCAGGATAAACTCCCTTGAGAAAAACAATTGAAGTAACGGCCACCTCTAAGAATTCCACCAAAACCCTAGCGGTGTCACCTGTGATTTTGTATCCAATAGTTCATATTAGTTCTCGTGAAAATATAAAAGACAGAGGAAAATCTTATCACAAACGAGATTGATTAAGCGAAAACCTTGAGGACATTGATTATATTTCTGGTGCATTGGCTCCTGCACGATTCAACAGGGTGAATGGAGCTACCCGTGGTTTCTCATCTATTTTCGCTAGAAAGCAAGTGAAGTTGTCTGAGTTTAGATGTTTAAAATATTATTGAGTTTTATTTAACAAGTAACTGGTGACGCGTTTGAATAAACTGATGGTAAAAAGTAAATAATTATTTTCTCAAAAAAATTAATATATATATATATATATATCTGTTAAAATTTTGAATTTTAGTAATTATGATTTATTTTTAATGTTAAAATAAAGCGTACCTTTAAAGAAATAATTATCTTTTTTCCACTACTAAACTTATTTTATTTTTATCTCATAAAGTAAAAAATCTATTATCTCATGCTTATATTTTTTATCTCCAATATATATCTGTTAAAATTTTGAATTTTAGTAATTATGATTTATTTTTAATGTTAAAATAAAGCGTACCTTTAAAGAAATAATTATCTTTTTTCCACTACTAAACTTATTTTATTTTTATCTCATAAAGTAAAAAATCTATTATCTCATGCTTATATTTTTTATCTCCAATATTATTTGGATTTTTAAATAATAAAAATTCAAAAACTTTTTTTAGAAATAATATTGAGAAATGTGTTATTTTTTAGAAATAATTTTTTTAAATTACGTTTTGACCTCTGATTTTTAAATTTTCTTTCAAAAATATCTCCAAAATTTAAATTTTCACCTTCTTTTCTCAAAATTACTTTCAATTAAATTCCTAAAATAATTTTACCTTTATTATTATTATTATTATTATTATTATT